GTGGGTAGGCCGTCCCGTTGGGCGCGCGAGCCCTGCGGGTTTGCCTACGCACCCTCCACAGGCGCCTAGTGGGTAGGCCGTCCCGTTGGGCGCGCGAGCCCCGCGGGTTTGCCTACGCACCCACCACAAGAATAATTAGTACGGAATATTTTCTAACTTAAAAGTCAATCTGAAGTTGTGTGGGGCCAGCTTCATGTCGCCTTACCCAATCACCGGATCGGCTCCACGAGTGCACCATTCTGCCCGGCTGAATTAGTCCTTTCCGAATTTCCCCTCCCCAGAAGCACCCGCCTCACCCAAATGAGTACGGGATCCGCGACTGGGCCTATCTTTTAGTACGGAATTAGTATGTTCGATCTATGCCATTTTCGATTTTCGGAATTAGTATGGACCTCCTCAAAGTCCTTTTCAAGGACTTGCATGTATTTCTGGAATGAAATCCTCGATGGTTGGGTGAAACGCGTTGTAGCCTATACGTTTTAAAAACACTGATTAAATGTTATGTTTTGTATGCTTACTACGAAAGAGGTACTCCAACGTTTCGCGGAGTTTCTATTAACGAGCCGTTCTGGAGCTGCTACGAGAATCTTTATTTAGCTCGCAGGCCTTGCTTTGGTTCTTACATCTGCACATATGCATGAAATGTGTACGACCACCCAATGTGTGAAGCCTTATTTAAGCATAATCGAACGGTCCGATCAGCCCCAAATTTTACACAGCTTCATTTCAGCGTACCCCATAACATTTAAAACCCATACATCGAGAAAACATTTTGGATGACCACCTTACCAGCCATCTAAACCAGATCAGAAAGTTGCCCTACCCTCCTGGTACTAGGCAACCCGCGCCCGAAGTGGGTGTAGCGCCCGGGCCATTTCCGAGCGGGCGGCCGGGCGTGACTCGGCCTAGATCGGACTAGACGGACGGACCCCCCCTCCCCTCCCCCCCTCTCCCCAGTCCCGGTCAACGCTTCAGGCCAGTGGTTATAACCACTAACTAACTATAGTTCATCGCGGTTCATCGTAGTAACCTTGATCGGCAGTGCAAATTTCACTATTACAAATGATATTTTGAACGCTGTCTGTAATCTCCTTAACCTAATCTGATTTGTTGAATTGGATGATAAAGGGGAAAAGTCTTCTGCCGGCCGGTGTTGGTCAGTTTTGAGTTCTGACCGGTGACAGGCCTTCTACGGGGATCGTGAATAAAGACTAAGTATAAGGAATTAGAATAGGTTTTATTCACAATCAGAAATCAAATTGAAATTTTTAGATTATTTTGAATTTTTTAAATTTATTTCAGTTCATATAAATCAGGAGACACACTCAGCCACTAATGCACAGTATTCTGCTAGTTATACAAGTGTCAAGTAAAGTGTTTGATTTAAAACGCTCTCCTGTTTTGTTTTTTGTCGTTGTCTTGAGAAGTTATGGAGTCGAAACATGCAGACTGTGGAAGTGAAACACTATTTTCAGAGTGAGTAACTTGTTCATAGCTCTAGTCTCTATCTTTAATGGAGTAATGTTACTTCCTGGTTACATGATATTATTGAGCCATGTTAAATATATTTGCCCCTTTCTCAATTTTTCGTTTATGCCGTGCCTGACAGTGGCTTTAGCCAATCGACTGGCAGTCAAGGCAGCTCTTCACCAGAACTTTCCGTTTCACCTCCACCACCTCGGCAGATATTATTCAAGCCCTACAACATGAACCACAAAAGGCGTGGGCGTGTAATAATATTTAAACATGAGAACTTTAAGGTATTCGATCATTTTACATATCTTTTTTATATTTAGATTTACAGTTGCCCTAAAATACTTTGAGGATGTATTTCTTTCTACAGCCCCATTTAAAAGTGAATAGTGTATCTAGCACAAACTGTAACACCCATGAGTTAATAGAAAATTTCAAAAGCCTTGGCTTTGATCCGTGTGATATTAAAATTGATCTGTCTGATACAGAAATTATGGGAGTTCTCAAAGGAGGTAATTTCAAAAATAAATGCACCATTTTTATTTTTTAAATCACTAATTTTGTTTTGTTAAATGTCATAATTTGACAGCTGCCGCTGAAGACCATACAGATAGAGACTGTATTGTTGTGGTGGTGCTGACTCATGGATATCGGGGGTATCTTTATTCCAAAAACTCATATTACAAGCCTGAAAAACTTTGGGCACCTTTTGAAGCACATAAATGTCAATCTCTAGCAGATAAACCTAAACTCTTTTTTATTCAGGTATGTGACCTTGCTGTCTTCCTACTTTAATTACGCATCCATTCTCTCACAAGAAACATGGATAAGTTAACAATCTGTGTCATATGTCACATTAATGACGAACTTGAAATTTTTTATTCCTACATGACTCCATAGACCTCAACCTATTTGTAACGTGTCTATGCAACATCCACGGGATGTAGCGCTTTTGGACATTAAGAAATGACTGCTACATCACTTTTTCCTACAATCAATTCTGAAGACTTCTAGACCAGAAAATTTTCAACTTTACATCATCCTTTTAATGTTGGTAACAGATACAAATCTGTGTTCGATTTTGCTTCCAATTTTATTTGTTTATTTGGTTATTGTAGATTTATTACTTCCTGTCAGTCGTTGTAGTAATGCAACGTAACTGCATCATCTCATAATGATCAATGATGGTATGGAATTTCAAATGAAGTATTATTGCCCCTCTCTAAATACTGAACTGTGAACAATTTTTAAATTTTTTCCTCTGTATAAATTAGCAGAAATGTTACTGGTTGTATATTGCTTATGAGCTCTGGGTGTGGTGTCATGTGCCTTTTTAAGGCATTCAAACTCAGTTATGTCAGTTTCATTTTCTCGAGCATTTACTAATCACCAATCTTTAATTCCTGTGTGCTTTGAAACCAGGCCTCTTCATTGTTAGTTGAGGTGGCCAATTACAAAATCAGAACTCTATTCAATCCAATGTCGATTAGTCTCTGAATAGACTTGTAATCTAATTTCTATCTAATTTTCTAATCAATATGACTTTCTCATTACCGTTTTCTTGATCTGAAAATAGACCTTAACGTATTTGTAAAATGTCTATGCAACATCCACTTGATGTAGCGCTTTTGGACATTAATAAGAAATGACTGCTACATCACTTTTTCCTACAATCAAATCTAAAGACTTCTTGACCAGAAAATTTTCACCTTTATATCATCCTTTGAAGTAGGTAACAGATACAAATCTGTGTTTGATTTTGCTGCCAACTTTATTTGTTTATTAGGCTATTGTACATTTATTACTTGATTACTGGCTTATTTGTTTCACTGTAGCAGGAGAGTAAGAGTTAAGTGAGCTAGGTTTTAAGGTAAAATGTTAATTGGGGAATGTATACTTGTAGGCTAGTCAAGAGACTGATACCTACAATCCTGACTTTTATGAAGTAATGACTGATGGAAACAATTCTAAGTATTTGCCAGTCCAATCAGATTTTTTGATTGCTTACTCCACAACTCTTGGTAAGAACTCGCTATCTAAAATAAATTTGGTTTTAGCTAACACAATTTTGTCAACTTACTAATACTACTGTCTGCAGGATTTATGAGCAGATTTTTGCTAGAAACTCTTAATGGGTTAAATGGCAATAATGACCTCCTTACAAGTTTGTCAATTGCTGAATCTGTTCAGCAAAATCCAACCATCACCCATACTCTGAGAGGACTTGTTAAGTTTACAAATCGAAACAAGTTATTGGAGTCGATGACTATAATAAGTGACTCCTCTGGTTAGTTCTCTTGTATATTATTTGAGAATTATATGACCATACTGTTTCGGTCTCACTATCCCTGTTTGTGTGATTTTTAAAAAGTTATCTCTATTATGTTTCCAGAATTGGGTGAACAACAGTTAAAGACGAAGGATTATTTCAGCCGTGAAACCAACCCACAAGCTCAGTTATTTAGACTGGATGAGGAAAACTTTGACAACATACGTGATTACATCAATCGCTTTATTGCACTAATTTCAACAATAAATGCTAATGGGGAACCATTGTGTGATAATCTGAAGCGTAGTGCTCTATTATGTGGGTTGCCTAAGAGTCTGCCTGCCATGAAAGAGTTCAAAGACTACATTGTAAGGAAATATCCTTCCAAAGCAGAGTACAAACTAGTTTTAGAGGAACTAATAGCTGTTAGTGAAAAGGAATCTTCACATGCAGATATCCACCTACCCTCTATTAGTGACCCTCATGAGTCTGGCTGTAAACGGTCAACTCCTTTGGAGACAAAGGAGCAATTTCATCACACAGAAGATAATTCAGATGACTTGACTGTAGATGATCCAAGTTTCCCACAGCAGTGAGTCATTTGATTAACCTCATTGTCCCCTTTCTTGTTTTATTTTGAATTAATTTGCTTTTAATACTAAATCCTTTCTTGGCAGTGGAGAAGATCAGAAATACAAGATGGAGGCAATGAATAATGACCCAATAGGACTTGCCCTAGTTATTGCCAACAAGACATTTAAGGTAGGTATTTATTTTCCTCATTCAATTTCTGTGGTTTTAAAAGGTTTTCTTATGGAAAATCACTTGCAGATAGAGTTGGGGCTAGAAGACCGACTGTGTTATGAAATGGATTTATTTTTGATAGGAGAAACCTTCACAAAACTGGGCTTTGACCTAATACTATGTTTGGACAAGAATAAAAAAGAAATAAAAACATTTCTAAATGATGGTGAGTAAAAGTGTTTTAAATTTGTTTCTAATCTTTTTTTATGATTTGGCTACCATGTGATCCAAGCTATTGTTGATCTTTAATTCCAGTTTGTATAAAAATGAATCCAAACATAAACTGCTTAGCAGTTATAGTAAGCTCTCATGGATCGTCGAACGGTATGATTTATGCCAAAGATGGCATGTATGCAGTAAATGATTTGTTCGAACCATTCCGAGCTGCAAATTGTAGTATCTTGGCAGAAAAACCAAAGCTGTTTTTCTTAGGAGTACGAGAAAAAATATCTTCATAAATTGACATGATTTTTGCCATATAGTTTTTAGGCATCATACCTAATTATTTGTTTTTTAGCCTTGCAGAGGATTCAAGCATATGAAAAGCATAAAAGTAGCTAATGATGATGTCCCTTATCACAGTAAAATGCAAACTGATATGGGAGGAAGAACAAAGAGTTTTTCTCAATCTACAAAAAAGAAAAGAAAAAGGGGCACACCAATACTCGATCATGAACTACCATGGCCTGATATTGAAGATCATTTTCTTGTCTTGTTTTCAACAGTTAAAGGTAACTATCCAGCAGTTTTATTGATGTTCTTTGGAAGCCTTCCACTTTATGTCATCTTTATATGTAAGAAACCCTTTATTTTATTTTTTATTTTTTTATAGACCATGTTGCGTTTAGAGATGACAAGGGTTCATGGTTTACTAAAAGTCTCTGCAAGATACTCAACAGAGAGAGAGAACACAATATTCAGCACATTCTTACTTCTGTCAATTATGAAAGTGCTTTCATGGCTACATCTGACTCGGCACAAATATCACAAGTAGCGTCAAAATTGAGGAAAATTTTATTGTTTCCGTTAAATGTTCCTAAAGGGAGCAATACAGAATGGGATGGTTCAGAATTTTGTCAGGCTATGGAAACATGAATTAAATTTCAGTTGATTATATTTCTGTGTATTTGTGTGTTAAGGCTACAACACTCCATACAGTGACATCACTTTCTGTTAGTCACCATGAAGTATTTCAGATTAAGGAACTTCATGTAATTTTGATATCAAATACATGTAATAGATGTTCTCTATTGAAGTTGGCACCACTGCTTGTCAAATGTCGGCTGTTAAAGTTTATATAGACCTGATGAGACCCAATAAACCAGTGAGTCTTGCTACCCAGCTGCTCTTCATTACCCTTGCCTCTAAAACCTTTGCACTTTGCAGCTTGTCGGATGCAACACCACGACACAATTAAGGTGGCCCTACAATGGCCCTACAGTGGCCATACGCCTCCTCCACAAGCGCCTAGTGGGTAGGCCGTCCCGTTGGGCGCGCGAGCCC